TTTTAAAATCATATTATTTATAGGTATTTCTTATAATCAGGCAATAGAATTTAATTTTATGAAAAACCCTCGAACAAATGCACTAAAAATTATTTAATGTGTAAAAAACATTAAAAATTAAATAATACTTGTTGCTGAAATTATAAAGAAATATTTTTCATGTTCTTTAAAACAATTTATTCTATGAATATTTTATCAAAATCTATCTAGATATATTTTATCTCGTTTGAAATTCGATTTTTATGAATCAGAATTTAAAAAAATCTACTGCTTAAAAATGTATTTGTAAAATGAAATATTCTCATTTGAAAAAATGAAGTTGATAATAAAATTATATACCTTATAGCCACAGGAGTTTATAGTGTACTTATATTGAACGATATAAAAATATAAAAATATGATTTTATACCTAAAAATATCAATATTATAGGAATAATATGAAGTAACTGAGTGTTTGGGTAAGTACTAAGTAATAACTAATAAACATGCTTTGGTGAATTATCTTGTACCTTATGGCTTATATTTATTTTTATGAAAAAGCAAATAGATGCGCGTGGTCTTAATRTCTTATCATGCGCAATGACAAATTTAAAAAGATATATTTATATTTATTATTTATAGTCTTATAGACATATATAATAACATGTGAACATACTRAACAATTAACATAACATAATAAGCATATAGAATATTAACAAATTATTTAATTATATATTTTTAATGTTAAAATGTAATATTTGTGAACTGGTTTATGGAAAACGTGATCATCTTTTGCGTCTACAAAAAAACAAAACATAACAAATTCTAGTTTAACTGCGATATCTGTTTCTACGGCTGTAATAGAAAATCTATTACACTTTCGTCACTTCAAAATAACTCATAATGTAAAATATGTAATGTCGAGTACCACTATATAGTATGTATCGCATTATTTATTATAAGAAAAATAAGGACTGTTCAATGTGCATTAACGAATTTAAAAGTAAAAGTTAGTAAGTTAAATTCATTTTTACCCAAAAAATTACATTTGAAAATGTCATAATGTGAATAAAATATAATAATATAACTGACAGTTATTCTTAGTTTTAATATGTAATTTCGTACAAATTTTAATTTAAAATGCTAGTAAAAACCACGGATAATAGACATACGGTCGAAGCATTGTGTTGTTT